ATTGGTGAGTGTGTTCTGTATTCCTTTTTACTGAACTTTTAAAAGATCCTGCTGCAGCATTTGGGTCAGTATTCAAGTAAGTACTGCAGGAAGGCTGAAGAGGAAGTTGGCCATTTACTGCAAAATTTTCCTGGTAAAGGTCAGTGTTCCCCAGGCTCAGAATCCTGCCTGCCTGCCTGCGATTTTGCTCAGTGGTGAGCCTCTGCTGTAATAATCCAGGGGACAGAAAAACATTGTAGCCCATCAGTGAGAAAAGACTGGGAATGCAGTAAGAGTCTTGCCTACTCAGACTGTCTTTTTGCAGCTTCCAGGATATCCTGTGCCATTTCCTCTGTTCTTTGTGGTCTTTTTCGCATGGGAAGGGATAGGTGCTCTGTGACTCTGAATGTCAAACCAAGACTTCTCTGCTTCAAGCTGTGGGGCTTTTTTTAGCTGCCAGACTAATAAAGCCTTTTGATTCCTTTAGAGAGTTTGGAGGGAAAGATTTATGAAAATGTGTGCCTGCTCTGTATTTCAGTTGTCTCATTTCTGAGTGTCCTGCCACCAAGCAAACACACATCACCAGTCTGACCTCTCTAGTCCCCTCCAGATAGATTGTTTCCAAGCTTAATGATGCATCTGAAGTTCTCTCTTACTTTGTGAGTTCCCTATCACAGAGTTCTCAAAGGATTCAGGTTTGGAGAGTTCACCAGTGACCAAGATACACTTACTATAAAAAACGCTAAAAAGTTAATGTGAGCTGAAAATTTTTTTGCTGAGGGAGGAATCAGATTAAACTCCTAAGGCAAATTTTCTGTTATTCTACAAGAAATTAAATGTGGTTTTCCACAGCAGACCCTTAGAAGGTTGTAGCACAGCACAGCTTAAAGGTCTATGTACTTCCACGATACAAATGTAAAAGCTTACTACTTATAATCTCACTGCCAGCAATGAAAATGTTAATTCTGATGACTGACCTGAAGAAGGCTTAGTGGTTGGACTTGATGATCTTGAAGGTCTTTTCCAACCAGAGTCATACTGTGATACTGTGAAGGCAGAGAGAAGACAAGGAAGGTCCAGTTCCCCACCTTCTTCCCAAGAAGGATCTAAGACTCTCTTTCCTATGGGTATGCAGAAGAGCTAAACACTCTTGAAGCAATACATACATACATATACATACAAGCAAGACAGTGGTCTTGGCTTGTGACCTGTGGTGTCAGTGTTTCATTTTGGAAAAAATTACCCCCCTCCTGCACTGTGGGGCTCTTTTTAGGGACAGAAAGTATGAGACATAAAAAATAAATCCTCAACCATGAAAATAACAGAGGAAACAAGCTTTATTTTTATTATTTGGAATTTTTGTGCGTGGTAAATGTACACATTTGACTCTGGTTTTCCTACATTTCCAAGACAGAGTAATTTTCTTTTAATCGTCGGCTAAAGCATCAAGATTACCGTGGCACACAGGAAGCTAAAACTACACACGCACACACACACGAACACTTTGATGTGCATCTTTCATCCTTGACCTTAAGGAGACGAAGTTTGTATTTAGCCTCACAGGGACTGAAAAAGAACCAAAAATTACAACAAAAAACAAATTACAACAACAACAAAAAAAACCAAGTGAGAAGAATATTTCATTATGAGTGTCAAAAGAGTGCAAGGCTGACATGTACACAAAACATACGAGATTGACTTAGAAAGATGGAATGTACAAAAACTTTTTACCAAAAAAAAGAAAAATTACAGACTCACTCCTAGAACTGGAAAGCTGCAGCCTATCAACTGGTAGAGATTTCTACCAGGGGGTACTGCCATACACTGTGCAGCATAGGGAACATTCCCATGTCATAAAGCCCAAGCAAAAGTGTCAGGGTTAAGGCTGTGCTGCTCACAAACATCAGCCGAAGTGCTGTACATTCATCAGAATAACACAACCTGTTAGAAATCTTCCTACTCCGTAGCACAAATACCTTTCACACACTCTTTACAAACAGGCCAAAACAATCACTGCTTACAATTCTTGAAGTAAGTTTTCAATGTGCATCAGGATTTCATAACTAGCTGTCACCCACAACCAAAAGTCATTTCTTGATAGCAAACACAACGTATTGGGCACTTGTAGTTTTCATTATGGCAACACTAGATCCTTAGTTATAAAAAATACTGACATAAAATTGAAAACCCTCTAGCTTTTACAGAACAATAGAGCATTTACTGATAAATAACTCTCCATCTACATTAGGCAAATGCTTTCTTAAACCATTTTCCTTTTTCAGCTACATTGATGCTGGTTTAGCCTGTGTAAAAATCCCCTACTGTTTATGTTGGATGTATCTGAACTGGTCCTTTTATTCCAGTCACAAAACAATGAAAATACAGTTGGCTAGTTTGTCCTAAAATGTTCCAAAATACACAAGATCTAATAACTTTTTGTTATTACTTCTGAGTTGAAGATTAGTTAAAGTAAGCACATACCTTTACCATTCATGCTGTGCTGCTAGTCAATTAGCATTCCAGGGAACATTTGGTTATACCCAAAATCTGGCAGCAGAATGCCTTTAATAAATGCAAACAACTCAGCAAAGTAAGCAGTGCAATTTTAATGTTCACTTAATTGGAGGATAAATTAATCTGTCAGCTTTTTAGAATAAAATTGCTGCGTTGGTTGCTGCTTGTAAGGTTTGTCAGCCAAGCATTTTAGCTAAATTGGCTTCAGAAGCACACCATAAAAGTAATGTGTTTCTCTGTTTCCAGGTGCCTGGCAGATAAGGTCTGACCCTGGAAGGGAATTCCCTTATGCCACTGAATTTGAAATTGTAGCTATTTGAAATTTGCTATCTGAAGGAGCTCCACATTAGAACCATTTTTTTGGGAGCAGCAAGAGTTGCTCTGGTGATAATGTCTGAAACCTCAATAATGTCAGAAAATCCAAAAGACCAATCTTAAGAAAAAATCCACATCCCTAATAGCTGTTAGCTTGGTTTAAGGGGGTTGTGTGCAGAATTATCAGGATGCTCTGGGTTGACATAGGTTATATAAAACCCTGGGAAACACTACTGAGCCAAAGGGACTGCAAATCTTTTGAAGAAAAGTGTATACATGGAGTAGTACAATCTTAAGTATATGTTTCAATATATAGTTAGGGTCTGATTTCTGTGCTTCTCAAGAGCTCCTGGCAACAGAAAATTTGGCAATGTTTCCTGAGTGGACGCCATACAAATTTAGTAAAATGCTATTATAAAAATCCAAATTTGGAGCTAGATTTGATTAATAGTATTCATAACTGACAGCTAAAATACTATGTACCTTCTCTTCATTGATAAATTAGCCATTTAAGGGCATTCCAATGCCAGAAATTGTTTGTTTGCCAGAAGGGTGCTAATAAGGACACTTAGAAGAAAATTACTTGAACATCTGAAATTCTGATCTACAATTCTTACTTTTTGATAGGATAGTTTATTGTGTAATAACTGAGATATCACTTTCAGTATTTTAGGACAAACTCAGTTCAAGCAGAGGATATTTTGTTCTCTTGCTAATTACAGACTTGCTTTTTATCATCTTTAAAAAGTTACTACAAGTTTCTTAGCTGTATTATATAGTCCAAACCTTAAGCTGAATGCGCAAAATATCTATACCAATGAAATAAGGAAACTTTTATTTGCACGAGAATTTGAAAATTTGCTCTATGTGCAAAAAATAAATAAGGGAAAGAAGAGAAAACATTGTTTAAGAAACAATAATCCAGACAAACTCCACATTTAAGAATTTTGGGGTCTTCGTTTTTACAACTTTAAAAAAAAAGCAAACAAAAAAACCCCAAAAAACAACCAAAACCATGTTTTTCTCAAATTCATTGAAACAACAACCTTCAACTTTTAGAAATAAGACAAATACTTTTAACAAGTAATTTAACAGATATTTCTTTCGATTTTGCAAACATTCTTAACATACTCCTCATGTTCCTGACCCAGTGTCCTTTTGTTTCAAGGCCGTAAAAATGAGAAAAGACAGACAGTACTTCCCAGACAATTGTAGGTATTGGCAGCAACCTCACCATCTCCTTCAACAAGGTTTAAGAGTGAACACCACTCTATCTGTATTAGGCTACAGTAGCAATTTATCCTTTGATAATTTGATTTAGAAAAAAGAACAAAGCCAATGCTACTTTAAAAAGGAGAAGTTAACACTTAAAAAAAACCAAAACAACAAAACCAAAAATTACAAACAGAACCAAGTAGTATGATTGCAAGCATTTCCAATTAAATTAATACTTCAACAAAAAACACAGTAAAGAGATCCAGCAGGAAGAAGTAGGGACAGTTTTCATAGTACTGCCATTTTCACATGGCATACATATGTTCCAGTCTGCTGAAATAACCTACATTTACTTTTTTATTTTTATTTTTGTGTCAATCAGTCACACATACATACAAGCAAATTGGAACAAATCTCACAGTCCTTATTTTGTCTCTAACAAAATTCCCTTTGATGAAGGACTTCAGGAATTGGTTCAAATTCATTTGTATTTGTAATGCATTTTTTTCTCATGTAAAAACAAATAGCTTTGGTAACCCTTGGCTTTCCTATACAACCTCTGTTCACCATAGTTCCTTTGGTTGTATAATATAGGTCCTCTATAGGGGTACCTCTCTGGCTTTCTGTCCTGTGTGATGCTGCATTTTATTTTATTGATTAATACAATGAGTTGCCTTAAGGAGACATGGCAATGAACACATAGGGAAGAGTGGCATACATGAGGTTAATTGAATTGACATTGTAATAACCCTGATCCTAATGAACTAGTTTGGTGTCAGAAGGTCTGCTGTTATACAGAAATTCAGCTCTCACTAATGTATCACTACAATTAAGTGTTTTCAGAGCTTTAGAATGTCAGGTCTCTGCAAATTCCTTCCAGCACACTGAGCAAGAGTAAAAAACAAGCACATGAAACAATCCTTCATTAATCCCACATGAGTAGGGAATTTGCATTGATTCTCAGAGTGCTAAACATTGAGCTGTGTTAGGTCCGACAGTTAGAGCTAGATGGGTTTTGTGAGACTTAACCTTATACTAAAAGGGACTACTTGTTATAGATAGTAAGACTGAAGAATGTTAAAAGTGTAATACCTACCATGATAATGAGATCTAGAAGATTCCCAGGATCACCTCTGGGTTAAATAATGCATAACAATGATATTTCTTCTAATTTGGAAGCTCTGAGCAGGAGCTGCTCTTTGCAGTCTTCAAAAAGCTTTTCCCAAATTTTTCACATTTTTGCCTAATTAGTTAATTCCAGTTCCATAAGTTGCAGTTTGCACTTAATATCACATTGTCCTTATGAATTCAGTTAAAGATGATTCTGTGTATTAACCCTTACAACAAAAAGTTCAGTGAGAAACGTAGGAGGTGCAAGTTTTATGTAAACAAGGTAAGTTTGGAAATTAATACAAGAAGTCCAGAAGAGACTCCTTCATTATTAAAAATTAATTCAAAGTAGGAGACATCCTGCATTGGATCTCTAGGATCAGTCTTTTCTTAAGGGTGTGTGATTATCCAGCTCCAGAACTCATTGCTACTGTAAGTATCGATAGACCTTGAAGCAGTGATTTCCAGAGTCTGCAACTACAACGTGGCCATCTGAAGTAAGGGCCAGGCCTTGGGGACCATAAAGTGGGTCAGCAGAGGTGTTAATGTAGGATAAAAATGATCCACTTCCATCAAAAACCTTTGAGGGTGAGAAAACACAGAATAAATGTTAGGAGTAAAAAAAGAAAAATAGAGAACACAAGGCTGCTCCCAATTATACTGTTATACTTCTCATTTCTGAAACGGTTGACATACATTAGAATAAACAAGGGCAGAACTTGATCTGTTATTCTTATAATACACAAGTTCTTATACAAATTTATTTTCTTCTTAAAAAGAACCAATTAAATCTGCCAGTATCTTTGGCAAGAATTAAACATGCAATGAAATAATAAAAAAGAACACCTCAGCTGTTCCTTGTTCTAAAAATAGCCAACTACAATAAATCAAATTCAATTAGGAACTCAACCAACACCTTGTTTTCCTAACAAATATTGTTGTGACCAGCATGACTCTTAGGTACCCACACAGAGAAAACCAGGAATTCATTTACGCTGTTGATAGAGCTTCCTGAGATCAACTCTTGATCAGCTCCCTCATTTTTGTATTCAGTGCAAATAATACATACACTTAGGTATTTATTAGGCATTCTTTGGAACATAAGGTGACTTTGTGATTAGCACTTGGAAGATAAAAGGAGTGCATCTCTCATAACATAAAACCAGAGTATTTTCTCAACAACTAGAAAAGATTATAAAAATCTGCTCCATTTGCCTCAGGGTCTATACAGATCATTGGCTTTTTCACATTTTCCTCCATGTCTCTAGTCTTATGTTATGGTGATTATAAATTACTGTCACTTCAACAATGCTTGTAGGTCTCCAAAGTCATCAAATAACTTTTGGGAAACTACTTGGAGACACGAGTCTTGGTCACGGTAACCATCAGACTTCCCAGCAGTCACACTGGAAAGCCCAGAGTCTAGAATGTCCATCACCACTTCTAAAAGTAAACAGACCAGCAATGAAGCATTCTAAAATGTTATGATAGAAACCACATCACTTCTGATGCTACTATCCTGCTTCTGAAGTCTGAAGACTTCAGTGGCCAGAGTTACCAAGCACCTTTGAAATACACAAATCTCTACCTGTATTCGGCTGTTTCCCCAATCTGCTACGATAATATTTCCATTTGAATCTACAGCTACTCCAGTAGGTGCATTAAATTGTCCGTTTCCTTCTCCATTTGATCCAAACTTCAGTAAGAATTCTCCCTCCTGGTTAAATACCTGTGTGGGTTAAAACAAAAGCCTGAATATGGCATCGTATAAATATTAGTCATCTACAACTACCAGTTCACCTGTTAACAAAACTGGGAATTTAAGAGTTCCCAGGAACACACACCCCCCTACATACACGCCCACAGAGACAGAAGATGGGAGAAAAGGTGCCATCTCTCCTTCCAGTCCCATTATACCATACAGTATTTCCCTTCTCACTAAAGATCTGATTCAGCTCAGACACAGAGGTAGAGGGCCCCAGGAACCCCTCTGCAACCTGTGCATCTAGAATTCAGAAAAGCCAAGTGCAGATGCAGCACTGGGAGTCAGTCCTACAGAAAGACGACTGCTCTCTGACTTCCATAATCTAACACATATTGAGAATCATGGCTTGCTGCTCTCCATAATGACAGCTCAGCATCTGAATACTCTATGATGGTCACAGGTTTAGACAGCAGAAATGTGGAACTGATCAACGACTATTCTGTCAGTGACCTGGATTCACCAATGGGAACAAGTGAGATACGAGATCTGTCATTTACATAGTACCATAGCCATCTCTTTTAATTTGGTCCATCTTGGACCCAGGTCCAGCTGTGCCACAAAGTCCAAGAGTGATCTCAGAGACTGGTTGTGGGTTGCACAAGAAAATGCAAAGACCTGACAAGTGACAAGTGCACACTGAAGTGCTAAGAAGGTGAAAGATGTGAGGAAGTCATCTTATTCTTGAACACCCATAATGAACAGAGAAAAAGCACTTGGGGGAGGAAATTAATGAAGTACCAGGTCGGGGGCCTCAGATGACTATAGGAAGTATAAAGTAAAAGCCAACAAATAAAAAAACAGGCAAAGATGTGTTCCTCTCCCTGGGTTAAAACAGGGAGGGTGACTGACCAAATGAGAGAGAAGCTTACACTGAGTTGGATTTTCCATAGAAGATGGAAGAAGATGCCCGAAGGAAGGAACACACTTGAAGGTTAATGGGGAAGGGAGGATGTAACTGATTGAGGATGTTTAATTCAAGGCACTGGTGGCAGGAAAAGGCTTTGGGACCCATAAGGGTGAAATTTATTCATTTATAGATTTATTTATTATTGAAAAAGATAGGTATTCTCTGCTGTTTTGCCCATTATTTAACAAAATATAATAGCATCACCCAGATTGTAAATGACTCTCCAGGGTATCAGCAATTATCTGTACTGATTTAGAGCCCACTACAAAAATCAGAATCTTTTCCAGTAGTACTAAATTGTAACAACATTCTAATGCCATTGAGTCACACCAGAGACAGACGGGAACACTCTGTTCTGATTAGGAAGGCAATAATTATACATTTGTTAAACACCACACTTCTTGACTCTCTTTACTTGCTTTTATTTTCATTTTAGATTGCCCTTGTTGTTAACTCTCTGAAGTCATTCTTGTTACCATGGCAAGCCCTGCTGGTATAGGGGTGATTTATGGAGTCAGAGGCTTCCTGCTGCTAAACCATGGAGGCAATCAACTGTAGGGCTCCTGCAGCAGTGTTGGTTTCTTTGTTGTAATCCAAACCATGAGTAGCTATTTCCTTTCTAATTCCAAAAGGATACAAGAGCAAGGTTCCCATTCAAAAGGTAGATGATTCAGCACTGCTCAGAACCTAAGGGTGTCTGTGCTCAGTGATTTCCTATTCCAGGTGCATATGTAAGATTTATCATTTCAGTAATGAGCACAGAAGAACTGGACTGAGAGCCTCATCTTTGTGTTCCATCAGAGCAGGCAGCCATTAGGTGAAACCCCAGGGATTTCACTGGTGCCTGTTGGGACTGGCACACATGGCCTGAGAACCTGGGTAGGAACCTGGATAGGACAGTGTTCTGCTGCCTGTGTCCTCCTTCTGCTGCTGTGTGTCTTGAGGGAGAGAAAAAGAATGTGGGAAGTGACTGAAAAGGAATTTCATGGCCTGAGAACAAACACGCAGAGGTGACTAATTTCTGAAATGGCCTGTAGCTCCTTCATACACATCTTCCATCACATGACATCTCAATATGTATTCTTGTTTTGGCTTATTACATACCACCCTATCTTTCCATGACCATTTAACAGGCCATGAATCAGGGCTTCCCAAGGATGGAAGGATTAATGGCCAGTTCTGACCAGGGCAGGAGGCACTGGATGAAAACCAATGGTGTGTGTTTCAGAGTTGTTAAGAGTACCATATTGTAAAAGGATCCAGTAATCTTAAAGCTTACAGGCATGGAATTAAAGATTGTCAGGTATCTTGACTTTGTTAGAATTATATTCAACTAGAACTGTAGGAAACTTTTAATGAGAAATTCAAAAGCAATTACCAGTTTTACCTAAAATAAGAAAGAATATAGGGTAAATAACAGGTTTGGCAGAGAGCTAACAACAATAATGAATGTGATATAATTTAACTCAGGTAAAACTTGCATTTAAGCAACAGGATTACAGCGGCATCAAAGGCAAAGGAGCATATCCCTATTAAGCAATGATCTGCAAGCAAAGGTCTCTGAATAGGCAGTCCTTATATCAGACCTCATACATATAGAGTGTGAATTCTTTGTTTTTAACAATACTTTGTTTTCCCCAAGACAGTACCATGATAAAATAAAAAGCTTTCCATATTGTGATTAATTGACAGTACCTTGACAGAATGGTTATGAAAATCTGTAATGATAATTTCATTGTTGCTGTTTACAGCTGCAAAATGAGGACCTGCAATGCAGAGGAAGACAAAACATTTAATAAAATTAATACTACTATTACTAAAAAAAAAAAAAGTTTGCGTCAATTAAAAAAAAAGCCTGCCAGAATATTATATATAACTTCTGAGCAAAAACAGTCAACTTGGGAATATAAATTTCAAAGTAAGAGTAATTTCATTTCATGTTTTAGAAAGATCATCATGCTTTTTTATAAACACAAATAATTTCTTTTCCAGCCAGTTGTCAGCTATTGTTATCAACAAGCATTGTTAATTTCTTCCTCTCTCATATACAAATGACTATTTAGATATTTATGTACTTATTAACAAGACAAAACATGTACTGCTTAGGCACAAATTTGTGTATACACTGAAAATAGTTCTCAAAAATGTTCATGGAAAGACTTAATTGAAATCTTCTGTGTTTCTCACTGCTTAAAAGCCTTTAAGCAAAAAAGTTTTAGGACAAACATAAGAGTTACTTAGAACACTGTCAGAGAGAAAAGTGTATTTCTTTGCTTTAAATTGTATATTGAACTATGTGTGCAAACTTGAATAAAAAACAAATGCTAGCTTGCAAACAAAGAAGTACCTGAATTAAAATACTTGGTGCTATGTTGAGTTATTAAACAGATCAGAACTCAGTTTCAATTTTCGTAGTACATCAGTGTAAGCTGTAAAAAGGGTGAAAACCTTCACAGTGAAAACATTCAAGTAGTGACAATTCACCTGATCTATATAGCTTACCACCAAGGAGAGGTAATACTTTCTCAAATGCACTGTTACAGAGTATTTGCACACTTGTTTTCAGGAGGTATTCTTACAAATTTCAAAATTACAGAAATTGGACATACCCAGAAAATTTTGGTGACACGCAGCTGTGTTAGACCCAAAGCTCTCATAAGCTATATATATGGCACTTGTGCCATAAGACATTGCAAGACATCTCAAGTAAGATAATAGCAGTTATACCATTGATGCTATTTCTCTTATGCTGTGAACCAGTCAGAACATTAGACCAATCAATAACTACTTACTCAGAGTGACCCAACACCTGCAAAATGACCTGCATATGTAATTTGGCATCTTAATTTCAAATTTTGAAAGAGCAGTTATTCACTCTAAACATATGTTTATTTTTTAAACTTGATTGCATGTTTTAACTGCAAGCAGTCAGATGAATGTAAATGGCAATTTCCTCAAATTGGCATTTTTCTTTTGCATAACTGTCTCTTCCTGATCTCTATCTTAACACTATCCCATTGCACTCATTTTCTAATGGGAAGATACCACTTAGGGCATTGGTTAATGTGTATCTGATCTGGGAAAAAAAAGCATGGTGTTTTAGTTGATTGTCATGAACAGCTGAGTGTGGGCATTTCCAAGCATTTATAAAATGCTAATTAAGATCAGTCTTTCTCAGGTCACTGATCTGAAATGCTTCCAGGCAGAGAGGTAGATGAAACAATCTTGTTACAGCTACACTTGCAGAACAGATGTTGCAGTCTTCCTGACCAATTAAACAAATGGTAAAGTGAATAGGAACTCTATGCTTAGTAGAGCCTTTCCCCCACAGCAAAAAAAAAGTAGGATATAGCGTCTTCAACATGCTCAAACTTCATGCAGATGTGAGCAGAAGAGGCAAGAAAAGGGGATTTACATATTACCATCAAGTGTACCTGCAAACTGCTTGTCACCATTTCCTCGACTACCAAACCTGGTGACTATTTTCCCATTTGGCTGGAAGATGAAGACACAGCATGCTTTATTGTCCACTACAATGATGTGTCCATTGCGATCCACAGAAACACCTTTAGGGCCCATGAGCTTTCCAGATCCAATCTTGGCCTAAAAGAGAAAACACAAAACAGAAAAATATGTTGATATTATAGAAATAAGTTAGTATAGTTCAAAGACTGTATTATAAAACACAGCAGGTTGCAGAGACATTTTTGTCATCAAAAGTTTCCCAGGGGGAAGTGATTGTTTTTATCAGCTCTTACTGTATGTATGTACTGTGTATGACTCCACTAGTCACACACCTCCAACCAGATTCTGCCCCATTGACTACAACTCTCTGACTCCTTCCTTTCAACCAGTTCCTGATCCACCTCACTACCTGATCACCAAACCCATACTTGATCAACTTATCTACGCACTTGATCAACTTATCTTTCTAAATCGAGGCAAAGCCTTCCAAGAACCCATGAGCTACCTGAGCATATACCCAAGAAGATTCTAGGATTGCCTCGCAACCTACTTGACATTTTTCACCATTCTGCTTTTTTTTCAGGCACAGATTTTAGAAAGTGGTTTAATCTACATTAAATTAGTTAAGCTTTGACCTCTCAGTTAAAGAATATTCTAAAAATACCACCTAATTGTTTGGGGGTTTTGTTGTTGAAATGCAGAAGCACCCTTTCTGGTTTTGGTTGGTTGTTGTTGTTGGTTTTTAAATTATGGACAGATTTGGAAGCAGCTATCCAGGTTGATTCCAAAAGTCTGGTCTCTTGCCAGCTTCTTTACTGTGTTGGACAGGCAGTCCACCAAACAAGCCATGTTGAAATTATGGATCCCAGAACTTACAGATCTGTAGTGATTTGTGAGACACATCATAGAAACTGAGGTCCGTCTGCTTGTCGGAGAACATAATTTCCTGTTTCCACCAAAATTTACATGAAATAGATACTAAGATATTTGTCTTCTTTATGAAACAAGACCATTTTTCACGTCACTGCCTTTGCAGGGTGGGAGAGATCATCAACTAGAACAAGCAATGCTGACTTCTCTGCCCCTCTCTCCTGCAAGCTGTGAGGAACAGCTGCAGCTCTGTCGGTCTGCAACTCTTAAGGTGGGACAGAATACAAGGCATGGAAAAGATCCATTACCTGATTCATTTATCTCAATTTCCTAATATTTTCAAAGCAACCAACCATGTCAGCATCTGAAGGAGCTCAACAACCTTTAGTAAGCTCAGTACATTCTCATGGGTGGGATTGCAGGAAAAAAATAGGATCCATCCCAAAATAAAGCCATCTAGGCTCCCCAGGACTGTCTGGTACAGTCAGCAGCATTACTACACCACCTCTTTGAGTCTCAAAAAAAGAAAACACAAGGGAGTAAATTTTGCAGCTCCAAGACTGTGCTAAGCCAACATGCAATCATCACGTGTCTATTTTAAGTTCAGGTGCATATGCTGTTAGAAATTGCTAAATATTTAGGTAAAACCCACCTAAGTAAATCACACTAAAATATCCCCAGGGAAAACTGTTGAAAATGACTTTGTGTTCACCAGGGGAAAGATATAAGCAGATCTACAAAATGTATTCAGGCTTACGTAACAACAGAGCAGCAAAAACATAAATGAAATGCAAATCAGTTTATTTATCTCCTTTGGGGTGATTAAATCATGTTCCCTTCTTTCCTTTGGGATGGCTGTGTTCTTGTCTGATTGGCCATTGCACCACCTCCTTACCATCTTTCTAGGTTTCCTATGGAAAAATGACTCACCCGTAAGTACAGTGTATTCCTGCCCATGTAAATATATATGAAAAAAATCATTAATAAATCATGTACTACATTAATGGGTACTCAGTGCTGAGAAGAGCAATAAAAGTCACTATTCTTGGACCAGGATTTAAAATATAATTTGCAGGCAGAAATAAATTATGTCCAGTTAGAGTTTGCAGTGCTTTTTGCTAAAAAATTCTGTTTTCAGTTTAGATCAAAATATGCTGATGACACATTACTGGGTCTGGCTGAACATATGCTTTGTATATTTTTACTTTAGAAGGTTTCTTACAATTATAGGTTTGATTACATTATGAACAGAACATTATGAAACCCAGCCATTCCTGTTAAATGTATGAATTGAAGTATTTTCAAACTTTTCTGCCATTAGAAAAGAATAAAGTATAATGAATCATCTGAACCCTTAATACAAATAATGTGTTTAATTGAATTCAGTCTAGGACATTATGTCCCTTATTTTATAGGCTTTTATGAATTTAGACTGGTTTTCAAATATGTCTTTATAAAGTCAACCTACCCTGGTGGAAAATACTCTACTATGGGATATTACTAGAGGTAAAAAAACCCCTAGCCTATATAAAAATTTATAAAGACTTTTTGACTGTAGAAATAGGTGTGTTAAGGCTGTAAGTTTAACTCCATTGGTCTTGTTGCTGACTGAAAGGTGCATGATTGTCAGGAATGAATTTACAGCCTTTTGACATCCCATCTTTTCCTGTTTGAGAACTTCCCTAATACGGAGATATAGCTTTGTCACACATTGCAATGTTGAAAAACAAATTGATTTATCATTCATGTGACTGTCTTAATTCAACAGTTTCCACTTAATCACACTCCACAGAACTATTACTATCTGAACATGCAAGCAGCTTCAAGCAGCTCCCTTCTTAATTCTTCTGACGAGGCAAGAAAGAACAAAAATCTGTTGTATAACATATCATCTTTTCCCACTCATCTAAACTTGATCTTAACTAGACTTGAAGCCCTGTTAGGCTGATAACAAGCTCTCTTAGATACAACCCTTCCTCCTCAGAGGACCAAGAATTATTCCTTTGGCTCTGTTCTCTGGTTCCTTCACCACCACTGGCACAGAAGCTGATACTGTTGCTTCACCATGTGTTCTCTAATGAGCCTAGCAATGTCTTCTAAAACAGTTTTCTTAAGCAATTTCAGAGTGATTTTCAGAGTAAGCCAGCACCATTATGTGCCTTTTATAGATGAGGAAAATAAAGCACTGGGAAGTGAAATGGAAGATCACTGGTCACCTGTGAGACCCATGGGATAGCCAGAAACAGAAGCCCCAGTTCCTAAGGCTTCATCATTCACGGGGTAATGCAGCTTTTAATTTTAATTTTAATAGACTTGTGTTTTGGTCTAACCTTAGATTAGGGTTTGTCCACCTCTGCATAATACACGTTTTACACCCTTGAGAAAATAGAGCTGTTTGTGTTGCTACCAGCAACTGAGGAAGGTGACACTTTTCAGCCTGGCAGTGGAGGTTGCTGGGGTGAGTCAGCCCAGTGCTGTAATCAGGGAGATGCCTGGGCCTGGATCCAGGGAAAATTTGCCTTCTGGCTCACACAACTATTAAAATGCTACTAAGGGAGAGTAAGTTTAAGTAAATACAGAAGGGGACAAAACCAAAAATAGTTAGATTAAGTTCAGAACAGTTTCTGATAATGCAGAGTTAATGACTAGTAGACCACTTGCACCAGAGATCATATACAATGACACAGTCCTTTGAAGGGAAACACCATTATCCCTTAATCTTCCTCTCTGTGTATCTAAGCACATGTTGCCCAATTTAATCTGACAAAAGCCCTGAAAGAATTACCATTGCCAACACAAGAAATTAGAGATTCCTTTAGGCTAGATCTGGTACACCCATGTCCTGTTATTCAACTATATGATTACACCTGCCCTCCATATAGAAAATGCTTCTACAAATATTTGTATATTTTTCTCTCATAAATATAGCCTGTTGCATTCAATCTAAAAATAGTACTATCATTGATGTTGCATCTCTCATCTAATCAGTCTAGTCCCAAGAACTATAAAGTCTGATGCATTAACTTGTATTAACCACACAATCATTGTCAACTTTACGCAGCACTTGCAATCCAAGAAACACACTGACTAAAATCAAACCTAGACTCCACATGAGAGGAACTATCTTAAGAATTCTCTTTTTCAATACCTGTCTCCCTCTGTATAACCTGTCTCTTGTTGTGTATAGCACATAGGTCCTGGTTCCTCCAGAGCCACAGCATTTTCCTCCTGAACTGGCACCATCTGAAATGCTGGATTTACAGCATTTCTTGAGAAGGAAGGAAAACAAGCCCTCTGTGTCCAGATTGAGCCAGTTCACATTGAAGATGTTAATAATTATTTAAAATACACCTAGGTTACTCAGAGTATCTGGATTCCTAACTAAATGACATCTTTCTTTGGTTTGGTTTTGGTGCCTTCATTTCATTCAAGGACTTCAGCCAAAACCAATGTTTTCCTACTACTCAACAAGGAAAATCTCATAGTGTCTGCAAATGCAACTAGTCTTTATTTTTTTAACACTCACATTGCATATTATTATTATTATTATTATTTTATTTTAGCTTCAAGTCTACACAGGATCTGAATACTTTTAAAAGCATGCACATCTGTTTCTCAGCTGGGGGTTATTGAGGACTATGCAAGTACAATTGCCTGTTTGCTATAGCATTTGTCACTTTGCAAAGACTACTCAAAGGAAGGACATTTCTTGGTAGATGTGAGCAGCTCGGGATCTGAGCTTTTTTGGTCATTAGGTTACCAGAAAATTAGCCAAACAGGCAATTTCTCTCCAATGCAGGATTTTAAAGCTAAGTAAAAATGGTAGAGATTTCCCTGCAGGTTCTTTATCTCACTGAGCAGCGTGTACTGCTAAGCTCTGCTATAGGTAGCTATTTCTAGCATGCATCGCCAGATTTGGTGCATTCAGAGGCAGCACCAAATTAAGGCAACCTTTAATTCTCTCTGGAATTGCACCTGAACCCAAGCAAAACAAATATTGCAGGTTGGCAAGCATCAGTGTAGTGTAGTAGCTGCCTTCTTATTTTAGTCCTATAAAGAGTTGCTATGAAAATAAGAGGTGTGCTTTTCACAGAACAACTGATTTCTGAGACCTATGATTTTATTACCAGTGCACATCACCCCACTTAAAACATACCTTTTTATGCTATAGCATGGGAATAAAATCCTGGGTTTCCCTTCCTTGCATTTATTACCAACAGGATCATACATTAATTATACACTTGATTTGCTGATACATATGGAATAAAAACAGAGGAAGCCATCACCAGTCTGCTACCTTATTTTTCTCCTCCATGTGTCACTGAAGAGCCTTATGTCCTCCTGATAACTTTTTATGCCTGCTTGTGTGTATATGCATGTATGCACACACCTTTTTGTATAATCAGAATGCTAATGACAGGCAGGCTTTTGAGCTAGTCCAACTAGACTCAATTACCTTAGCTATCCTTAACTGTAAGTTACAGAATGACATTCAAGCACCTAGTACATAGAACTGTAAAACAAAACATATAGTCTCTATTTGGTATAACATTAGCATCACAGCTGTGACCTCTCTCATTAATTATGCGACATGGCTGTGTTGTAGGTTTTCACATCACAACAATGGAATTTGGACTGTTACAAACAAACTGTGTTGTTTCTTGAAAAATAAAACCAACACAACAAAACAAACAAACCCCATTACTTCACATTCCTTTGTAAGATGGAGAAAGCCCAGGAGAGTTCACAGGGTAACTCATACCTTAAATTTTCCATCTGATGAGAATATGCTAACCCATTTGTTATCATAATCTGCAATAATGATGTCACCACTGGGATGCACAGCCACTCCTGTTGGCCGCTGCAGCTGGCCGGGAGACCTTCCTCGTATGCCAAAACGGCTTTTGAACTGACCATCATTGGAAAATATCTGTAACGGAAGAAATGCATTTTAAACTTAAGTCTGCACAGTAACACCATATATTTCACAGAGTTTAGATTTTAGCAACTCACTAATTAACACTATAGTCAGGAAGAGAATTAGGAACATGAAGCACTTTTACACAGTCCAGACATGAAAGCCTAATTCAAGAAGAGGCTTTGACCTAGACCCTAATTTCTAAATAAAAATGTTCTGCACACTTATTGCACTGTTTCTTCAGTTATCTCAAAGTACTTTACAAATATTAATTAAACTTTACCATGTCGCTCTGAGTTGGAAGGAAGGTGTATTATTACCATATTAGAAATGAGAAAACTGAAGTACTGAGTGACTCAACCACATTCAAACAATAATTCTGTAGAAAAGCTAGGAATAGGACCTAAAAAAAAATTCCTGAGCGATGCTTTAGCCATGTAAAATTCAGTCCACTGATAAGAGTCCCCAGTCCAGGGGGAAGTTCCTCTGAGCTGGCTGCAAACTAGGAAGTGTGAGGGTGCTGATGAATATTGGGCTCTGTCTCTTTGAAAAGGCCTAGAAGTGAATTCTTACTGCATGTGGGTTGCTGCTTCTCACATCCTGAAGGACAAGCCACACCCTGATGCCATGTTCATTGCTACCACATGGGCAGCCTAAAGAGTGATGACAAACTGTTAATGGTAAAAAAGATACATGGCAAGCAGAAGAAAAAACACAGCTTGATTTTCATACAGGTTAAAAAGCCAAGAAATCATGGGTGTCAGGGGTGCTATGACAGAAAAGATTTGATCATGATGTCAGACAGAAAAGTAAATTAAGTAGGCTAAAAGTAATTTGAAAATGACATCTACATGTTTATATTTGTACTTGCTTAAGAATTATATTTATGGCACTTTCCCCTAGATTTATATTTGGAAAAATTGAGTGATAAATCTACAAGGTAGCATTATATTTACAAAAAGGTATTTTTGCAGATTATTGGACCACTTGTTTTATGCATTGCCAAACATCATAGGGAAGGAAAATAAACTCTGATATACATACTAGATATAGTGTAGATCTGAAAAAGATAGCTGCAGGTCAAGAATAATAATGGATGATAAACAACTTGGACTTCCTCTCTATTTTCTATATCTTCTTGAATTGTACAAAACATGCCTTTCCTTTACTACAAAGAAGGCAGAGGTGCGGAGGCAGGGAGAGAAAGAAAAATTATCTAAGTGGCATATCCTCATACCTGCACACACTGGTTGTTACTGTCTGCTATTAATATTTTTCCATTTGTAGATGCTGCTACACCTTGAAGATTTGTAAATTCCCCTTTGTTTCTTCCTTTAGTGCCTAAAATTGAACACAAAGCATATAAGAAATCAAGTTAGACAGGACTAATCAGTCAGGACCTAAATGCCAACACATGCATTTTTTACATCCTTTATCTATTATCTACTCTTCTATTTTGAAGAATTCTTATCACTGCTACAACTTCAAAGAACCATCTCAGTAACAGATCCGCAATTCCAAGTACAAGAAGGAATTGTTCTTACTCTTTGCCACGTATGCCATCTATGCATCCATCAAGGTAATTACCTCTTTGGCCTTCACAAATCAAAGTTTCACAATTTGCCTCTTGCATGAGAGAACTAGTAAAATGCTTTTTTTGTAAGTCATGGACTTATTTAAAAGCGTGGATTTTTATCTGACTGACAAGGCAATGAAAGGGGTGGTATTGTGGGAACATACACACAGAGGCTAAGATAAGGACCTGGATAGATGACAAGGTTTTAGTACAATAAGCTAAATCTCCTCAGTGAAGTCACAAAGTTGAGATAAAATATATCAGGGACCACTTTGTATGGGACCATTTCAAGACAGGGAAGTTTCCTATTCACTCATACACAGTTTTCAGTCACAGGCTTTAAAAATTTCCTTAGAAGGAAAACTAAGATGAACAACTGGTTTTGGGATGTGGACCAGTGAACACCAACACCTGGAGACTGAATTCTTCTGTAAAGCCCTTATATAATTCTAATAAAGCAGTATACAAACACAGAGGTCCCATTTTTACCAAGGAAAAATGCTAAACTTTGTCATCTTCTTCCCAGTGGGTTAAGGACACAAGGAGCTGTAAAACGTCAAACTTTCACAGAAGTTCATTAAGTTTAGATGCCTCATGATTTAACTGTTTTTTCTGAGATGTTCTGAGGAGAGTCACACAGTAACTGATGTCTTTAAAAGGTCAGTCCTAAACTGGCTGATCCAAATTACACCTGGAGCACAGAAAGAGTATCCAGATTCCTCTGTTGTTTGTAAAGGGTGCTCAGGGGTCTTTAGACAAGACTGCATTTATAATCTTAGACCCCAAGTGTATTCGTAATGAATGAATGACTTTTGAAACAAAAAGCCTGTTCTTTCCGAGACTTGGATGCAGCACTATTTTTCCTGGTGAAGTATTTTTACAAGCATTCACTGGCTATGTATCAGACATTAATGGGTTTCAATTCATGGTTTTAACTGCAAAAGTTGTATTTTATTTTAGTCTGTCCAAAATATCCTGGAACTCAGTGATTAAAACTATTCTGACTGTGATGCCCAATATAAGACATGCATATTTGCTCTAAGTTGTATTTAGCTTTCACTAGGGCAGTGTACACTCTTAACACCCCTTCCTTCTGCTGCGAGTGATGGCTGTTGGTTGCCTTTTTCCTGTCACTGGCTCACAAGTGACACTTAATTCCTCTGCATTTCATGCTACGAGCATGTCCCTTTGTTTCAGTGCTTGTTTTCTTGAACTCCATATGCTGACATCTTCTGAACAAGGCAAATACTTCTTGATTTTTGTACTGCAAGGGGAAAGTACATTTCAGGCAATAGTGAGTTACACACCAATTACATTACCCACACTGGAGCCATTTCAGTGTCCTTTTTTAATGAGCAGTGCCTGAGGGATGCATGCAGTAATTTTTTTCCACCATATGCCAATGATAAATTTACTTTTTGCCTTTTAGCCAAAGACAATGGATGAAAAGGGAGAAACATTCCTTTTACTACTTAGAGCAAAGGAAAAACATTTGTTAGAAAAGAGGAGGCATAAGTTACAGCATCTGGAACCAACTAGCACAAACATATGTTCTTCACCCTTAGAAGAATGTTCTTGAAAGTCAAGAAATTCCATTTTTCAAAATAAGAGAGACCTATATAAAGAGTTACTCAGAACATTCTTTAGTGGGACACCTTGTAAACATACATCAAAGGAAAACCAGAAGAAATTATCCAGGAA